TGTGGAGTGTAAAGTGTGGAGTGTAAAGTGTGCAGTCTGGAGTGTAGGGTGTGTAGTCTGGAGTGTAGAGTGAAGTGTGGAGTGCGCAGTGTAAAGTGTAAAGTATGGAGTGTGAAGTGTAAAGAATGGAGTGCAAAGTGTTGAGTGTAGAGTGTGGAGTGTAAAGTGTGTACTGTGGAGTGTAGGGTGAAGTGTGGAGTGTCGAGTGTAAAGTGTAAGATATGGAGCGTGAAGTGTAAAGTATGGAGCGTGAAGTGTAAAGTATGGAGTGCAAAGTGTTGAGTGTAGAGTGTGGAGTGAGGAGTGTAAAGTGTGGAGTGTAGAGTGAAGTGTGGAGTGCGCGTGTAAAGTGTAAAGTATGGAGTGTGAAGTGTGAAGTATGGAGTGCAAAGTGTTGAGTGTAGAGTGTGGGGTGTAAAGTGTGGAGTGAGGAGTGTGGAGTGTGGAGTGTAAAGTGCGGAGTGTAAAGTTTGGAGTGTAAAGTGTGGAGTGAAGTGTGGAGTGTGGAGTGTAAAGTGTGGAGTTTAAAGTCTGGAGTGTAGAGTGTGGAGTGAGGAGTGTAAAGTGTGGAGAGTAAAGTGTGGAGTGTGGACTGAGGAGTATAAAGTGTGGAGTGAAGTTTAAAGTGTGGAGTTTAAAGTGTGGAGTGTACAGTGTGGAGTGTAGAGTGTGGAGTGGGGAGGGTAAAGTGTGGAGAGTAAAGTGTGGAGTGAGGAGTGTAAAGTGTGGAGTGTAAAGTGTAGAGTGAGGAGTGTAAAGTGTGGAGTCAGGAGTGTCAAGTGTGGAGTGTAAAGTGTGGAGTGTAGAGTGTGCTAAATTTTGCGCCTGCCACGTAAAATGACAGTCCACACACGATGGAGCTTCACGAAATGCTTTGCTTGCCAGGCAAAATGAGAGTCTCACAATGTCCCACGCCTGCCACGCAATATGCACGTTGACATCACTTGTAGCAGCCCTGACAGTGCGATTCGCAAAAGCACGCAACACTACACGACACGTCTGAAGTGCTGCGCTTGCCACGCAAAACGACGATGGCAATCTCCAAAGTGGTACGCTGCCACGAAAAATGCAATTCGTCTTTCAAAACCTCGCAAAGGCATCGCGCCTGCCACGCAAAAGGATTTTCGACACGTTATGAACCATGTTGGAACGTCACAAAGTGCAAAACTCCAAAAGTGACAACTTTTGCATACTTTTGCAGAACTCGCCAGAGGGACGGCCATATTACACGACGGTCGCTCGCGGACGGTTGCGGACACCTGCGCCCGATTGCGAACACAAAAGCAGCGTCAAGCGAACACGTCTCAACCCCCAAACCCCCAAAGTAAAACGAGCACCCTTCGCTACGTATTCTGGGAAAAAAACGGGAAAAACATAATTCCCAAAACAATTTTAGGCACGCATGAAATTGCATGAAAAGCTGCAGGGAGAGGAGGCATATGATTTTGTGAAAGGCTGTCAAACCAATAGATTGGGCAGCTGGCATGGGAGTTTGGCGTGATGCGTGGCTACGATACCCATAATCATTCTTGAGCGGCGCCCCACTTTCCCATGAGGCACATGAGGCGCAAATTTCAGTTTACTGGTTGCCTGTAGCGTTGCTAAACATGAGTTCCATTTGGGGTTCCTTTCTTTGAGCTTTGCTTGAGCGTAGAGGCTCCAGAGGAGCCTGTCGCAGTAGAGACCGTTGAGGCTTTGATCAGGGAGGGGGCATCCTTTCAAGACAGCATTACATGGCATTGGGCACATTGGGGCTTTATTTGTTCACTTTTGGCGAGCAAATCTACTCATTCACCACCGTGTAAAATTTGCTCACCCGACGCGACTTTTGGCTCCGGCGAGGTGTCTCGAGGCCAACTGGTGCGCGGAAGCATCGGAAGCATGGCACTGGCTTTGGCACCTCCTGCCCATGTGCCATGCTTCACTCACTAGCGCTGGCTTGGGAGAGTTTATATGATTTTATCACCTTTCGTCATTAGCATTTCGTTTTTTTCTCTCAGAGTGATGCAATCTGACAAAACATTGTCGTTCATAGTCTGCTGCTGTTTGTTGAATCTGCATTTCCCCAGGCTGTGGAATAATCTGATGGGCTTTTGGGGCGGTTGTGGCATGTTGTGGCTATTTGTTTTGTTCGTTTGTAGCTCTGATTTGTTGATGTGTTCATTGTGTGGATTTTGCCTAATGATGTCTGTGCTGATTGGTGTACTGTGTAAGTTCGAGGCAGCAGCTCCAACCTGGGTGCAGTACGATCTGAACACAGGAGAAACTTTGTATGACATCGACTTCGACGAGAAAGACCCCAATCATGGCAGCTCGGCACGGCATGGCACGGCAATAAACAATGAGATGGTGAGATGGTCAATAAATTGAAAGATAAGGCCGATGGTGATGTAAACATATGATAAATGTGCTATGTGTATGTGTTGTATATGTATATGTGTATTATATATTTAGTATAATTATATTCACATGCATTTTTTTCATTCAGAAACGAACACGCGAATGCAAATACATTTGTATATATGTGCATTTCGTGCGCAGTGATTGTCATTATATTTTTTTACACTGGAAAGCCGCAGTACACCAGAGCAAGAAAGAAAAACCAAATGCCACAGTAACACCGCCGCCTGAAGCAGACGTAACATGGTGGACCAAAGAGATTCATATGGTAACTGACAATGCAGTTGCCTTTTGCTTCTGATATGGAGTCTTTTGGGCATGATGCTCATACCTACAGGGTGTAAATCCAACGCCGTTCGCAACTGGGTGGAGCCTTGTTCGCTCGGCGGCAGCCAACCGTTGGCAAACAGTAGCCGCAACCGATTCCAATCGTCGGCAACCGGCAGCCCGAGACATACGGCCATGCATGGTTTGTTGCTCTCTTGCTATGCGAAGTTTCATTCACATGTTAGAACTCTGTTCGGTCCGATTCCTTCATGACATTGCCAAGTCATGTATTTGAGTTGAACCAAATGTGCATTTTGCGGCGGTTGCGACTCAACATTCCCTTTGCTACTGATTTGTTTGACATACCAATACTGATTGGGCACGTCAACTGATGGTGTAGGCTTTGTGATGCTTTGTTTCAGAGTGACCCTCTTTTGCGATTGTTTGCGTCCCCAAGTAATGGCACATCCATATGGGCTTGGTGCGTCATTTTCAACCTTTTGTAGTCAGTTGCCCACTTCCTAAATCAGAAAGAAGTTTGGTCATGCCTGTTAGGCCAGGACTAGAAATTGTAAGGAAAGATGTGGTACGTCACCGACAATGATGGTTACCGTTGTGCTTTTGGACATGACAGTGAAGCGCAAACACCTGAATACCGAGTGTGTCCAACACCTGACAATTACCATGTCAATTTGTAGCGTCGCATACCGTAGAATTGACACGCGTGTAAATACACGGGGAAACCCTTGAAAACACATGATATGTGCTTTTATGCTATAGCATTCTCATCGAAATTTGTTAAAAACTAATGTTCGATGTCTAAACTGCCGGGATGTTTGACATGTCAAGTCTGCCCCAGATTTGCCATGATGTTCCTGAACGAAGTGCTCTTGCAAAGTATTTAGTGATATATAGTGCAGATATATCCTCACACGCAAAGATTGATAGTCGAAGCTCACAACGCATAAACAAGTGAACAGTGCCAACAATTATGTTATATTATTTTGTGTTTTCAGTTGCGGCAAGTTTTGAGGCTTCATCGTTGGCGCTAGGGCGTTGTTCTACGAGACCAAAGATGGTGGCGGCATTGCTGCACTTGAAACGCATTGTGATCATTGTGCTGTTAATGTGAAGAAGCACCAGGTTGGAACTCAAAGTTCATGGATAGTGCGGATATGTTCAGGCACGATGAAAGTGAGCCGAGGAAATCGATGGGTGTCGCGGTCTTTTGCCAACCTGGGTAAAGGCGAAGACATCAGTTACCGATTTCAGACACTTGGACCATCTTAGCGGACTAGAGTACGATTACTGTACTGTATTTGCACGAATTTGCTGTATTTGCGCACTGTTCAACGCTCAGTGTTCGTGTCAGTGGTCTCCTTGCCGAGGACAGTCTCAGTCAACGGTGATGAAGTTTGGATTGTCGGCAAGCCCCCGTTGCTTCTCCACTCCAAGGATGGTTGCTCGGCATGCTTGGCAGCATTTGTGACTATGCAACTGTTTGGCATGCAAGGATCATGCAAGGATCATTCAAGGTTTGGTCAGTCATACTTAGTGAAGTGTTTCCGTGCTGAATGTGTTTCCGTCTTGTCATGTCACGAGGTGGAAAGAGCTGGAAAAAAGTTCCAGTGTCTCGAAAGCTACCTGGAGAGCCAAAGGCCGATGGCTGATGGGTTGCATCAGTTGTGTCATTGGAATTTTGTGCGCCGCCATGGAAGATCCTTTGTGATCCCAAGCAGACGTACAAAATGCATCAAAATGCTCATCATCTGTCATCATTTTCAGTGCGTAGTGGCGCAGTGGGTGCATGTTTTCTGATTTGTCTTTCGCTAACTCGTAGGGCACATTTCGTCTGGAGGAAAGTGATCTGTCAAAAACCAGCTCAGGGACCCCAAAACTGAAGCCACAACTGATTTAGCCACGCCGTCCAACTTGGTGAAGTCCAAAACATCAAGATCCAAGAAACATCAAGAGACCAACAGAGATGGTAGTAGAAACTGACCACAGTACCCCTAGTGAGCCCTACCGTAGATGGACGAAATATTCAAACCCTTCTATCCGGTACAACCCCCTCGCCCCCAAAGTTCAATGTTATTGTAACCTGAAGTGTGTTAGCCCCAATGGACGAAAAAAATCAACCCCCTAACATCACTTTTGCTAACACGCGCGCTGAAACATTGAGATTTGGGGGCGCAAGGGTTCAACATAGTGCGTGCTGCAGGGTTTGAATATTTTGTCCATCTACTGTCTCGTTCTCTGATGTTTTCACATCTTTTGGTCTCAAACTCTGTTGTGGAAACATCAATGTGCATGCTGCTGATCTTCTTCCAAACTGCGCAAAACATGGGCTTTTCACAAGTAAATGCCTCCTGTCTGTCTCCCGTCCCATGTTTTTCTATTCCCTAATTCGCAACTTATTCCTAAGTGCACAAAACATTGTGTTTTCACAGGTAAGTGCAACCTTTGCGCTTCCCGTCCCATTTTTTCTATTCCCTTATTCGCAACTTAGTCCAAACTGCAAAAAACATTGTGTTTTCACAGGTAAATGCTGCATGCGTCTCTCGTCCCATTTTTTCCTACTCCCTAATTCACAACTTATTCCAACATAAGCAAAACATTGTGTTTTCACAGGTAAGTGCAACCTTTGCGCTTCCCGTCCCATTTTTTCTATTCCCTTATTCGCAACTTAGTCCAAACTGCATAAAACATTGTGTTTTCACAGGTAAATGCTGCATGCGTCTCTCGTCCCATTTTTTCCTATTCCCTAATTCACAACTTATTCCAACATGCGCAAAACATTGTGTTTTCACAGGTAGATGTGCATTTCTCTCTCGTCCCATTTTTTCCTATTCCCTAATTCACGACTTATTCGTTTGACGTGGCCCTGCCAATGGATTATGTCCCTTGTGACGTGCTGCTCTTTTTAAGAGAACAATATTTCCTTTTTAATTAAGAGCTGTCATAATGCGTTCAAGATGCAAAATCCATTGGCAGGGCCACGTCAAACGAATAAGTCGTGAATTAGGGAATAGGAAAAAATGGGACGAGAGAGACATGCACATCTACCTGTGAAAACACAATGTTTTGCGCATGTTGGAATAAGTTGTGAATTAGGGAGTAGGAAAAAATGGGACGAGAGACGCATGCAGCATTTACCTGTGAAAACACAATGTTTTATGCAGTTTGGACTAAGCTGCGAATAAGGGAATAGAAAAAATGGGACGGGAAGCGCAAAGGTTGCACTTACCTGTGAAAACACAATGTTTTGTGCACTTAGGAATAAGTTGCGGTACTGTCTCGTTCTCTGATGTTTTCACATCTTTTGGTCTCCAACTCTGTTGTGGAAACATCAATGTGCATGCTGCTGATCTTCTTCCAAACTGCGCAAAACATGGGCTTTTCACAAGTAAATGCCTCCTGTCTGTCTCCCGTCCCATGTTTTTCTATTCCCTAATTCGCAACTTATTCCTAAGTGCACAAAACATTGTGTTTTCACAGGTAATGCTGAATGCGTCTACGTCCAATTTTTCCTATTCCCTAATTGCACAAAACTATTCCAACATGCGCAAACATGTGTGTTCACAGGGATAGATGTGCCATTTCTCTCGTCCCATTTTTCCTATTCCTAATTCACGACTATTCATTGGACGTGGCCCTGCCAATGGATTATTGTCATTGTGAGTGCAGCTTCTTTAAGAGAAAAATATTTTCCTTTTTTAAGTTAGAGCTGTCTCAGGCGTTCAAGTTTGGCAAAATCCATTGGCAGGGCACGTCCATGAAGACGTATTGAATTAGGGAATAGGAAAAAATGGGACGAGAGACGCATGCAGCATTTACCTGTGAAAACACAATGTTTTTTGCAGTTTGGACTAAGTTGCGAATAAGGGAATAGAAAAAAATGGGACGGGAAGCGCAAAGGTTGCACTTACCTGTGAAAACACAATGTTTTGTGCACTTAGGAATAAGCTGCGGTACTGTCTCGTTCTCTGATGTTTTCACATCTTTTGGTCTCCAAACTCTGTTGTGGAAACATCAATGTGCATGCTGCTGATCTTCTTCCAAACTGCGCAAAACATGGGCTTTTCACAAGTAAATGCCTCCTGTCTGTCTCTCGTCCCATTTTTTCCTATTCCCTAATTCGCAGCTTATTCCTAAGTGCACAAGACATTGTGTTTTCACAGGTAAGTGCAACCTTTGCGCTTCCCGTCCCATTTTTTCCTACTCCCTTATTCGCAACTTAGTCCAAACTGCAAAAAACATTGTGTTTTCACAGGTAAATGCTGCATGCGTCTCTCGTCCCATTTTTTCCTATTCCCTAATTCACAACTTATTCCAACATGCGCAAAACATTGTGTTTTCACAGGTATAAATGCAACCTTTGTGCTTCCCGTCCCATTTTTTCCTATTCCCTAATTCGCAACTTATTCCAAACTGCAAAAAACATTGTGTTTTCACAGGTAAATGCTGCATGTGTCTCTCGTCCCATTTTTTCCCATTCCCTAATTCACAACTTATTCCAACATGCGCAAAACATTGTGTTTTCACAGGTAGATGTGCATGTCTCTCTCGTCCCATTTTTTCCTATTCCCTAATTCACGACTTATTCATTTGACGTGGCCCTGCCAATGGATTATGTCCTTTGTGACGTGCTGCTTCTTTTTAAGAGAAACATATTTCCTTTTTTAATTAAGAGCTGTCTCATGCTGTTCAAGATGCAAAATCCATTGGCAGGGCCACGTCAAATGAATAAGTCGTGAATTAGGGAATAGGAAAAAATGGGACGAGAGAGACATGCACATCTACCTGTGAAAACACAATGTTTTGCTTATGTTGGAATAAGTTGTGAATTAGGGAGTAGGAAAAAATGGGACGAGAGACGCATGCAGCATTTACCTGTGAAAACACAATGTTTTTTGCAGTTTGGACTAAGTTGCGAATAAGGGAATAGAAAAAAATGGACGGGAAGCGCAAAGGTTGCACTTACCTGTGAAAACACAATGTTTTGTGCACTTAGGAATAAGTTGCGAATTGGGGAATAGAAAAACATGGGACGGGAGACAGACAGGAGGCATTTACTTGTGAAAAGCCAATGTTTTGCGCAGTTTGGAAGAAGATCAGCAGCATGCACATTGATGTTTCCACAACAGAGTTTGGAGACAAAAAGATGTGAAAACATCAGAGAACGAGACAGTACCGCAACTTATTCCTAAGTGCACAAAACATTGTGTTTTCACAGGTAAGTGCAACCTTTGCGCTTCCCGTCCCATTTTTTTCTATTCACTTATTCGCAACTTAGTCCAAACTGCAAAAAACATTGCGTTTTCACAGGTAAATGCTGCATGCGTCTCTCGTCCCATTTTTTCCTACTCCCTAATTCACAACTTATTCCAACATGCGCAAAACATTGTGTTTTCACAGGTAGATGTGCATGTCTCTCTCGTCCCATTTTTTCCTATTCCCTAATTCACGACTTATTCATTTGACGTGGCCCTGCCAATGGATTTTGCATCTTGAACAGCATGAGACAGCTCTTAATTAAAAAAGGAAATATTTTGCTCTTAAAAAGAAGCAGCACGTCACAAAGGACATAATCCATTGGCAGGGCCACGTCAAATGAATAAGTCGTGAATTAGGGAATAGGAAAAAATGGGACGAGAGAGACATGCACATCTACCTGTGAAAACACAATGTTTTGCGCATGTTGGAATAAGTTGTGCATTAGGGAATAGGAAAAAATGGGACGAGAGAGGCATGCAGCATTTACCTGTGAAAACACAATGTTTTATGCAGTTTGGACTAAGTTGCGAATAAGGAAATAGAAAAAATGGGACGGGAAGCGCAAAGGTTGCACTTACCTGTGAAAACACAATGTTTTGCGCATGTTGGAATAAGTTGTGAATTAGGGAATAGGAAAAAATGGGACGAGAGACGCATGCAGCATTTACCTGTGAAAACACAATGTTTTTTGCAGTTTGGACTAAGTTGCGAATAAGGGAATAGAAAAAATTGGACGGGAAGCGCAAAGGTTGCACTTACCTGTGAAAACACAATGTTTTGTGCACTTTGGAATAAGTTGCGAATTAGGGAATAGAAAAACATGGGACGGGAGACAGACAGGAGGCATTTACTTGTGAAAAGCCCATGTTTTGCGCAGTTTGGAAGAAGATCAGCAGCACGCACATTGATGTTTCCACAACAGAGTTTGAGACCAAAAGATGTGAAAACATCAGAGAACGAGACAGTACCGCAACTTATTCCTAAGTGCACAAAACATTGTGTTTTCACAGGTAAGTGCAACCTTTGTGCTTCCCGTCCCATTTTTTTCTATTCCCTAATTTGCAGCTTAGTCCAAACTGCAAAAAACATTGTGTTTTCACAGGTAAATGCTGCATGCGTCTCTCGTCCCATTTTTTCCTATTCCCTAATTCACGACTTATTCATTTGACGTGGCCCTGCCAATGGATTTTGCAACTTGAACAGCATGAGACAGCTCTTACTTAAAAAAGGAAATATTTTTCTCTTAAAAAGAAGCAGCACGTCACAAATGACATAATCCATTGGCAGGGCCACGTCAAATGAATAAGTCGTGAATTAGGGAATAGGAAAAAATGGGACGAGAGAGAAATGCACATCTACCTGTGAAAACACAATGTTTTGCGCATGTTGGAATAAGTTGTGCATTAGGGAATAGGAAAAAATGGGACGAGAGACGCATGCAGCATTTACCTGTGAAAACACAATGTTTTGTGCACTTAGGAATAAGTTGCGAATTAGGGAATAGAAAAAATGGGACGGGAGACAGACAGGAGGCATTTACTTGTGAAAAGCCCATGTTTTGCGCAGTTTGGAAGAAGATCAGCAGCATGCACATTGATGTTTCCACAACAGAGTTTGGAGACCAAAAGATGTGAAAACATCAGAGAACGAGACAGTCGTACCGCAAACTTATTCCTAAGTGCACAAAAAACATTGTGTTTTCACAGGTAAGTGCAACCTTTGTGCTTCCCGTCCCATTTTTTTCTATTCCCTAATTCGCAACTTATTCCAAACTGCAAAAAACATTGTGTTTTCACGGGTAAATGCTGCATGTGTCTCTCGTCCCATTTTTTCCCATTCCCTAATTCACAACTTATTCCAACATGCGCAAAACATTGTGTTTTCACAGGTAGATGTGCATGTCTCTCTCGTCCCATTTTTTCCTATTCCCTAATTCACGACTTATTCATTTGACGTGGCCCTGCCAATGGATTTTGCATCTTGAACAGCATGAGACAGCTCTTAATTAAAAAAGGAAATATTTTTCTCTTAAAAAGAAGCAGCACGTCACAAAGGACATAATCCATTGGCAGGGCCACGTCAAATGAATAAGTCGTGAATTAGGGAATAGGAAAAAATGGGACGAGAGAGACATGCACATCTACCTGTGAAAACATAATGTTTTGCGCATGTTGGAATAAGTTGTGAATTAGGGAATAGGAAAAAATAGGACGAGAGACGCATGCAGCATTTACCTGTGAAAACACAATGTTTTATGCAGTTTGGACTAAGTTGCGAATAAGGGAATAGAAAAAATGGGACGGGAAGCGCAAAGGTTGCACTTACCTGTGAAAACACAATGTTTTGCTTATGTTGGAATAAGTTGTGAATTAGGGAGTAGGAAAAAATGGGACGAGAGACGCATGCAGCATTTACCTGTGAAAACACAATGTTTTTTGCAGTTTGGACTAAGTTGCGAATAAGGGAATAGAAAAAATGGGACGGGAAGCGCAAAGGTTGCACTTACCTGTGAAAACACAATGTTTTGTGCACTTAGGAATAAGTTGCGAATTAGGGAATAGAAAAACATGGGACGGGAGACAGACAGGAGGCATTTACTTGTGAAAAGCCCATGTTTTGCGCAGTTTGGAAGAAGATCAGCAGCATGCACATTGATGTTTCCACAACAGAGTTTGAGACCAAAAGATGTGAAAACATCAGAGAACGAGACAGTAGATGGACAAAATATTCAAACCCTGCAGCACGCACTATGTTGAACCCTTGCGCCCCCAAATCTCAATGTTTCAGCGCGCGTGTTAGCAAAAGTGATGTTAGGGGGTTGATTTTTTTCGTCCATTGGGGCTAACACACTTCAGGTTACAATAACATTGAACTTTGGGGGCGAGGGGGTTGTACCGGATAGAAGGGTTTGAATATTTCGTCCATCTACGGTAGGGCTCACTAGGGGTACTGTGGTCAGTTTCTACTACCATCTCTGTTGGTCTCTTGATGTTTCTTGGATCTTGATGTTTTGGACTTCACCAAGTTGGACGGCGTGGCTAAATCAGTTGTGGCTTCAGTTTTGGGGTCCCTGAGCTGGTTTTTGACAGATCACTTTCCTCCAGACGAAATGTGCCCTACGAGTTAGCGAAAGACAAATCAGAAAACATGCACCCACTGCGCCACTACGCACTGAAAATGATGACAGATGATGAGCATTTTGATGCATTTTGTACGTCTGCTTGGGATCACAAAGGATCTTCCATGGCGGCGCACAAAATTCCAATGACACAACTGATGCAACCCATCAGCCATCGGCCTTTGGCTCTCCAGGTAGCTTTCGAGACACTGGAACTTTTTTCCAGCTCTTTCCACCTCGTGACATGACAAGACGGAAACACATTCAGCACGGAAACACTTCACTAAGTATGACTGACCAAACCTTGAATGATCCTTGCATGATCCTTGCATGCCAAACAGTTGCATAGTCACAAATGCTGCCAAGCATGCCGAGCAACCATCCTTGGAGTGGAGAAGCAACGGGGGCTTGCCGACAATCCAAACTTCATCACCGTTGACTGAGACTGTCCTCGGCAAGGAGACCACTGACACGAACACTGAGCGTTGAACAGTGCGCAAATACAGCAAATTCGTGCAAATACAGTACAGTAATCGTACTCTAGTCCGCTAAGATGGTCCAAGTGTCTGAAATCGGTAACTGATGTCTTCGCCTTTACCCAGGTTGGCAAAAGACCGCGACACCCATCGATTTCCTCGGCTCACTTTCATCGTGCCTGAACATATCCGCACTATCCATGAACTTTGAGTTCCAACCTGGTGCTTCTTCACATTAACAGCACAATGATCACAATGCGTTTCAAGTGCAGCAATGCCGCCACCATCTTTGGTCTCGTAGAACAACGCCCTAGCGCCAACGATGAAGCCTCAAAACTTGCCGCAACTGAAAACACAAAATAATATAACATAATTGTTGGCACTGTTCACTTGTTTATGCGTTGTGAGCTTCGACTATCAATCTTTGCGTGTGAGGATATATCTGCACTATATATCACTAAATACTTTGCAAGAGCACTTCGTTCAGGAACATCATGGCAAATCTGGGGCAGACTTGACATGTCAAACATCCCGGCAGTTTAGACATCGAACATTAGTTTTTAACAAATTTCGATGAGAATGCTATAGCATAAAAGCACATATCATGTGTTTTCAAGGGTTTCCCCGTGTATTTACACGCGTGTCAATTCTACGGTATGCGACGCTACAAATTGACATGGTAATTGTCAGGTGTTGGACACACTCGGTATTCAGGTGTTTGCGCTTCACTGTCATGTCCAAAAGCACAACGGTAACCATCATTGTCGGTGACGTACCACATCTTTCCTTACAATTTCTAGTCCTGGCCTAACAGGCATGACCAAACTTCTTTCTGATTTAGGAAGTGGGCAACTGACTACAAAAGGTTGAAAATGACGCACCAAGCCCATATGGATGTGCCATTACTTGGGGACGCAAACAATCGCAAAAGAGGGTCACTCTGAAACAAAGCATCACAAAGCCTACACCATCAGTTGACGTGCCCAATCAGTATTGGTATGTCAAACAAATCAGTAGCAAAGGGAATGTTGAGTCGCAACCGCCGCAAAATGCACATTTGGTTCAACTCAAATACATGACTTGGCAATGTCATGAAGGAATCGGACCGAACAGAGTTCTAACATGTGAATGAAACTTCGCATAGCAAGAGAGCAACAAACCATGCATGGCCGTATGTCTCGGGCTGCCGGTTGCCGACGATTGGAATCGGTTGCGGCTACTGTTTGCCAACGGTTGGCTGCCGCCGAGCGAACAAGGCTCCACCCAGTTGCGAACGGCGTTGGATTTACACCCTGTAGGTATGAGCATCATGCCCAAAAGACTCCATATCAGAAGCAAAAGGCAACTGCATTGTCAGTTACCATATGAATCTCTTTGGTCCACCATGTTACGTCTGCTTCAGGCGGCGGTGTTACTGTGGCATTTGGTTTTTCTTTCTTGCTCTGGTGTACTGCGGCTTTCCAGTGTAAAAAAATATAATGACAATCACTGCGCACGAAATGCACATATATACAAATGTATTTGCATTCGCGTGTTCGTTTCTGAATGAAAAAAATGCATGTGAATATAATTATACTAAATATATAATACACATATACATATACAACACATACACATAGCACATTTATCATATGTTTACATCACCATCGGCCTTATCTTTCAATTTATTGACCATCTCACCATCTCATTGTTTATTGCCGTGCCATGCCGTGCCGAGCTGCCATGATTGGGGTCTTTCTCGTCGAAGTCGATGTCATACAAAGTTTCTCCTGTGTTCAGATCGTACTGCACCCAGGTTGGAGCTGCTGCCTCGAACTTACACAGTACACCAATCAGCACAGACATCATTAGGCAAAATCCACACAATGAACACATCAACAAATCAGAGCTACAAACGAACAAAACAAATAGCCACAACATGCCACAACCGCCCCAAAAGCCCATCAGATTATTCCACAGCCTGGGGAAATGCAGATTCAACAAACAGCAGCAGACTATGAACGACAATGTTTTGTCAGATTGCATCACTCTGAGAGAAAAAAACGAAATGCTAATGACGAAAGGTGATAAAATCATATAAACTCTCCCAAGCCAGCGCTAGTGAGTGAAGCATGGCACATGGGCAGGAGGTGCCAAAGCCAGTGCCATGCTTCCGATGCTTCCGCGCACCAGTTGGCCTCGAGACACCTCGCCGGAGCCAAAAGTCGCGTCGGGTGAGCAAATTTTACACGGTGGTGAATGAGTAGATTTGCTCGCCAAAAGTGAACAAATAAAGCCCCAATGTGCCCAATGCCATGTAATGCTGTCTTGAAAGGATGCCCCCTCCCTGATCAAAGCCTCAACGGTCTCTACTGCGACAGGCTCCTCTGGAGCCTCTACGCTCAAGCAAAGCTCAAAGAAAGGAACCCCAAATGGAACTCATGTTTAGCAACGCTACAGGCAACCAGTAAACTGAAATTTGCGCCTCATGTGCCTCATGGGAAAGTGGGGCGCCGCTCAAGAATGATTATGGGTATCGTAGCCACGCATCACGCCAAACTCCCATGCCAGCTGCCCAATCTATTGGTTTGACAGCCTTTCACAAAATCATATGCCTCCTCTCCCTGCAGCTTTTCATGCAATTTCATGCGTGCCTAAAATTGTTTTGGGAATTATGTTTTTCCCGTTTTTTTCCCAGAATACGTAGCGAAGGGTGCTCGTTTTACTTTGGGGGTTTGGGGGTTGAGACGTGTTCGCTTGACGCTGCTTTTGTGTTCGCAATCGGGCGCAGGTGTCCGCAACCGTCCGCGAGCGACCGTCGTGTAATATGGCCGTCCCTCTGGCGAGTTCTGCAAAAGTATGCAAAAGTTGTCACTTTTGGAGTTTTGCACTTTGTGACGTTCCAACATGGTTCATAACGTGTCGAAAATCCTTTTGCGTGGCAGGCGCGATGCCTTTGCGAGGTTTTGAAAGACGAATTGCATTTTTCGTGGCAGCGTACCACTTTGGAGATTGCCATCGTCGTTTTGCGTGGCAAGCGCAGCACTTCAGACGTGTCGTGTAGTGTTGCGTGCTTTTGCGAATCGCACTGTCAGGGCTGCTACAAGTGATGTCAACGTGCATATTGCGTGGCAGGCGTGGGACATTGTGAGACTCTCATTTTGCCTGGCAAGCAAAGCATTTCGTGAAGCTCCATCGTGTGTGGACTGTCATTTTACGTGGCAGGCGCAAAATTTAGCACACTCTACACTCCACACTTTACACTCCACACTTGACACTCCTGACTCCACACTTTACACTCCTCACTCTACACTTTACACTCCACACTTTACACTCCTCACTCCACACTTTACTCTCCACACTTTACCCTCCCCACTCCACACTCTACACTCCACACTGTACACTCCACACTTTAAACTCCACACTTTAAACTTCACTCCACACTTTATACTCCTCAGTCCACACTCCACACTTTACTCTCCACACTTTACACTCCTCACTCCACACTCTACACTCCAGACTTTAAACTCCACACTTTACACTCCACACTCCACACTTCACTCCACACTTTACACTCCAAACTTTACACTCCGCACTTTACACTCCACACTCCACACTCCTCACTCCACACTTTACACCCCACACTCTACACTCAACACTTTGCACTCCATACTTCACACTTCACACTCCATACTTTACACTTTACACGCGCACTCCACACTTCACTCTACACTCCACACTTTACACTCCTCACTCCACACTCTACACTCAACACTTTGCACTCCATACTTTACACTTCACGCTCCATACTTTACACTTCACGCTCCATATCTTACACTTTACACTCGACACTCCACACTTCACCCTACACTCCACAGTACACACTTTACACTCCACACTCTACACTCAACACTTTGCACTCCATTCTTTACACTTCACACTCCATACTTTACACTTTACACTGCGCACTCCACACTTCACTCTACACTCCAGACTACACACCCTACACTCCAGACTGCACACTTTACACTCCACACTTTACACTCCACACTTTACACTTTACACTCCATACTTTACGCTCCACACTCCACACTTCACTCAAAACTGCGCACGACACACTTTACACCCCACACTGTGCACTCAACACTTTGCACTCCATACTTTACACTTCACACTCCATACTTTACACTTTACACTCCACACTTCACTCTACACTCGGGACTACACACTTTACACCCCACACTTTACACTCCACACTTTACACTCCATACTTTACACTACACACTTGACGCTCTACACTTTACACTTTACATGTTACACTTTACACTCCACACTTTGCACTCCACACTTGACACTTTATACACTCCACACTTTACACTCCACACTTGACACTTTACACTCCGCACTTTACAGTCCACACTTTACACTTTACACTCCACACTTTACACTCCTCACTCCACATTTCACACTCTACACTTTACACTTCACACTTTGCACTCCACACTTTACACTCCACACTTGACGCTCTACACCTTACAGTTTACACTCCACACTCTACACTTTGCACTCTACACTCCGCACTTTACACTCCATACTCCACACTTCACACTCCAAACTGTACACTTTACACTTTACAGTCCACTCCACGCTTTGCACTCCTCACTCCGCATTTTACACTTTACATTCTACACTTTACAGTACACACTTTACACTCCACACTTTACACTCCACACTTCACACTCCATACTTTACACTTTATACTCTACACTTCACACTTTCGACCCAACACTTGACACTTTACACTCCACAATCCCCATGTCACAATCTACACACTACATTCCCCACTCAGCACTCCACTTTCTTTACGCTCTACACTTAGCACTCCAACCCCTTCCACATTCCACTATCTACAGTGCATTGGTCCGGTAACAGAGAGGAAATTGCTAGAATGCACAAGACTGTTCAAAAACTTGCGTCACAAAAGTGTTTTACGTGACTGCATTCGGGTTCGTTGGTTTTTCTTGTTTTTGATCTGTTTTTCTGCCCGTTTTCCTTGCTATTTGCAGCATTTTGGAGCTGGAAGCTGCCATTTCAACTGTCCGCGCAACGTTTTGGAATTGGAACTTCTCATTTTCCATGTGCACCATCTTGGTGGAATTTGTAAGGGCTGCCGTTTCAACGGTACTTGCAGCACTTTTGAGTTCGAATATTTTATTTTCAGTGGAAGTTGCACCATTTTGTTGCTCCAACTGTTCGTGGAACATGGTAATTTGCAAGTAGGGTTCGTTTCGGGTTGGTTTTAGAGTTAGTTTAGGGGTTTTGTTTGGTTTTAAACTTTTTTTGGGTTCATTTATTTAAATGTTTTTAAAGGGTTGGTTTAGGATCTTTTTAGGGTTTGTTATAAGTTTTATTTAGGCTTGGTGTAAGATCTATATATGGTTAGTTGAGGACCTATTTTGGGTTGGTTTAAGTTTTGCTGAGGGTTGGTTAGTAGGTCTAGAACTGGTGTAGGACCTATCCAGGATTGGTGTAAAGCGTGTCTGGAATTAGTTTAAAACTTATTTAGGTCTGGTGTAAAATCTAATTAAGGCTGGTGTAAGATTTATTTAGGATCAGCTTCAAATTTATTTAGGGAGTGTTTAGGGTTTACTTAGAGTTGCTTTAGTGTTTCTTTGGTTGGTTTGGTGTTTATTTATGGTTGATTTAGGGTTTATTTATATGATGTTAAAGAAGCAAAGAAACATAAATTAAAAAACAAAATCGAAAAAAAAAGAAAAACATATATCCCTCCATTTCATGCGGGCGTCAAGTAGCACTGACGGACAAATACCTTGTAGATCTGCCACGGCTTGCCCGCCTCCAACTGCTTGGGCACCGCTGTGCTGTAGACTTTGGTCCTGACCTGTTGCGGGTCTCAGATACTGAAAGCCCTGCACTGCAACACCCCCTCTTCGCAACACCTCCTGTTCCCATTTTTTGCATGTAAAACGCCAATCCGACAGAATGAAACCACAAGAAGCTGGATTCTGTGGCGAACTATCAAAATCTATCAAATCCCCCTGGCGAAGGAAATGTTCGTGCCTGTCGCGCCTGTTGTGCTGCTCCCAATCGCCTGTTTCGCAATGCGTGTCCTGTCGATTCGGATGTGTGGCTGCTCGACGACTCTTCGATGCGGAAATTCAATGTTTGCACCCGTGCATCGTCGAAATGAAGAAATGCACGCCTGTGAAATGCTCAAATGTTTCCAGATCTTTTAGCTGAAAAACCGGCCCATGCGCGTATTACAAGCGTATCAAGTCCCAATTTCTCTCCCACTTAGTTTCCTGGTCAACTCAAATTGAATTCTCAGGTATTCGTGGCCTACTTCCCATGTAATTTACATGTTGTTCCCTTGGATTTGCAGCGTCCATTTCCCCATGATTCCACCCTTCGTTTTCCACTTTCCATGCGGTTCCCATTTATTTCCCTTTCCTTCTGTTCAACACCATTTCCGAAACGTTTCCCTTTTCTTTTCGTGTTGATTTCCCTGCACTGTCACCTTCATCAGTTTCTTGTTGCTTTCATTGTGCTTCCTTCCAAGACAGGGCATGATTCACCAGTCAGGGTAGAAAGTCGCATGATGCTCACAACTTCCCTCGAAGCCGCTTTGGCACACTGAATATTCATCGCTTCAGTAGTACTCGCTGCTCAGAGATCACACTTTGGATAACAACATATAACAACGCAAGGAACCTTCTTGTGTGAACTTTCTTGGAGTAGCGGTAGCTCTTTTCGATTAGATCATTGCACTCGGTTGCACCTTGGGGAGAAAACACGTCTCATAATGCAGCACCTGCTCTTTCACACCGCACAACGATACATCTCGTTCAGTACCAATACTGCATTTTCTCGATGGATCGCACTTCAGCTTCGAAGGAGCAAGAACAGAATGTCTTTTAGGGTTAAAACCTTCATGTCTTTGCGCAACGGTCCGCGGAATGATTTGCGCAATCTCCTCAACTATCCTCAGCTGAACATACTGCTTGCCTTGACAGCAGTGCATGGGTTCCCGTGTCCAACAAATGCTTCGTGACCCCTGCCTTTCTGCACCCAGTTGTGTGCAACATCATGACCCAAAAGAACTCGCCCCGTGCTCCGCTAACCCCGCTCTCTTTGTTTCAATTCCATAA